TATATATATATATGTGTGTATATATATATATATATATATATATATATATATATATATATATATATATATATATAAAGAGAGAAAAAGAAATAGATTGTAAAGTGCAATTCTATGTTAATTTTGGTACAAGCTAATGCAAAACTCGAACGAATATCGTCAATGAGGAGTGAATTGTGTGTACTAAATTTAACGTAGAATGATACTGACGATATGATCGATATAAAATAATATATATATAATATATATTATATATAAATTATATATATATATTAATTATAGTTTTAACCTAAAAAGAGAAAGAGGATTCTAAGCTAGACGCCTAGCTAGTGCTATGTGTAGCGAAGTATAGGATCTACGAATGTATTATATACGCAGCTGAGATCGCGTTTTCGGATCGTGGAATGTCCCAGTTACTTGTCGCATCTCTCCGAAATTGGTACGAGGAGATGAATCGAGAGAATGCGGGCTCCGAGACAATCTATATTAAGTGTCCGAACGTTATTGTCTCTCAAGGAGATTACGTCGCTTCGTGAAGAATACCCGCGACTATATTTAGTACAAAGGTACTTTATATTATTAGCGCAAAGCATTTTTTGCGTCTTATTGGCGAAATTAGTTATTAGCGATTAATTGGACATGTCAGATAATCAGTAATGATTATATATTTATTTTTTTTTGTTTAGGTAATCTCGGAATGTTTCGCGGTTAATTTGATAAATTAGTACCTTTCATTATTTATCTGGTACACACGCAGTCGCCGATAAATTGATGTACACGATGTATTCATTGTAGTCTGTCAATTTGTAGATATGTAGAATCGATCTCCGTTCATTTCTCTAAGAAGGAACATAGAGGGGCGCATTCCACGATTCGTACAGGGTGCTCGTAAGAAAAAATTTATGTATTAATGAACATAAATTATACACAAAATGGCATACAGGTAATATCACAAAAATTACATAAGATTTAAGTACTCTATGGTAATAAAAAAAAAATATGTTACGCATAAGAAATGCAGATATCCAAAACGAGATGTTAATAATAATAATACTATTAATAAAAGACAAACATCTGTGCATGAAAAAAATCATAGCTGAGAAAAATTAGTAAAGGGATGATATAGAACGAAACTGCTGTAAATTTCTTCTGCAATTATATAATAATATAACAATAACAACACAATAATAATAATTGTATATATACACATTTGGTGTGTGCACGTGTGTATGATTATACGCGTATACATACCATATGTATACAGGTTGTATAATTGCGGACTTCGTTTCAGTTACGGTTCTTACGAATATGGAATTTTGGTTTCTCCATAATAAAGATGTTGAGCTTCCAATAGTTTTCCAAGTTGCAGACTACAGAATCTTCTCAAGTGAACAAACAAATATAATTGTTCTTTTAGCAGTCAGTAAATCCAGCAAGATAACAACGATATTAATGAAAAATGTTAACGTAACGTTAACATTTGTAAAAAAAATATTGTGCCTAATTAAATTTTCGCTAAAGAAAATTGCTCCAAGTTCCTCGAAAGGCCCGTAACTAAAAGGGAGAACGGTAGTTTGAGACACCGTGTAATAACTATTAACAAGTCACAATAGTAATAACGGAATAATCGGTAATCAATAGTAAGTCCTATTGAGATAACGGAACGTGCAAAGCTCGATCGCATAGACAATGTTCGCTCGATAAGTGCAGACGAATGTAGTACGTGTTCCTGCATGCGCAGTGAAACCAGCCGGATAGGTAAGAGAAGGATCGATAGGAACGAAGTGTTACTCGTTTGGCCATAAATAACAAACTGTATTTTTATTGATACTATAATACAGAGATCGTACAAGTCTCCTGAATGTATGTCTTATTGATGCGACAATTCGGGAATTGGTAATTATGTCACAAGTTGTTCGAGACACGTTTGAGCGTTCTTGTTTTCTCTTCTTTTTGGTAGTCTTATCGAGAGAATTGGTTTACAGCTATGTTAAAAGAGATGGCACACCTCCTCTCACCGATTACACATATATATATATATATATATATATTGTCCATATATATATTATATGTATTATATATATATATATATATATATATATATATATATATATGTATGTATATATAATAATGCTACTTCCCGAATCTCTGCGATCTATCTCTAAATATATATATGAATTGAAGCGGTATTCTCCCGTCAACGGACTACACGTTAAATACTTCGCGGTACGTCGAATACTTTGCTAGAATCACAATGATAATCACATCATCTGCAGGAAAATGATCGTCGGAATTAATCTATGTTACTTTTTATTCGTCGTCATCGACATGTTATGTCCGTTATATTCCGTAACGTAGCGGTAATGCTTCTATTATGGCAGTGCGACGGAATTTCAACGCGTCGATCTTACACCGTTAAGATTCACATAAATCGAGTACAAAAGTCTGTAACTATTCTTCTTTCTTCGAGTCATATTGTAAAGAAATCCAAATGTGGCAAGAGTCACTTGTGTAAATTGATTAATACCTACGACATTGTAAAAAAATGATCTTTCGCGCTAATATAATAGGTGGAAATTCCTCTGAATATAAGGAATACTGCGACCTTGTATGTGATAACAATAGCGGAATAGAAAAACCGTATCTTAAAAAGAAAATTGCAATACCATACCAAGCGCGGTATCGATATCGCTACATATACGGTTAATCACAATGATACTTCACGACGAATGATATTTCGCTCGTGCTCGTTTTTCCGTTAATTTTCGACAAGTATCATAAAGAATGTCTTATCTCGGGCCCGTGCGGCATATTATAATTCGGTCGTCATGTCAGACGTTAAGGCCTGGACACGCGTTGCATTGCAACTTTTGCATAATACATGATCGTCCAAGGGATAGCAGCCTCGTCCCTCCGAGTCTGAAGACAATACCAATCCACAATCCTCGCATTTGTAGCACTGTATGTGGAAGCTGCGATCCAACGCCACCACTCGCACGGTCTCGTCTTCGCCGGGTTCAGGCATTATCGGTAACTTGCAGACGCAGCAGCGAGGCGCGAACTTCCTGCGTGTACGAAAATGCAAATTAACAAGCTCGATTGATATGTGCGCATACGATTTTCGGTCGATCAAAAGCAAAAGAAAAACTCACTTGTGGAAGCATTGAATGCAATGTATCTGATTCGTGGCGTCCACAGTGAACGGTATACCGTCTAAACTCTGTCCGCAAACGACACAAGTAAAGCATGAGGGATGATACGGCTTGCCGGTTGCTCGTAATATTCTATCTAGTATCGGTCTGATGCAGACGCAACACTTCTCCAGGGTATTGAGATAGTCCTCCTCGCAGTAAGGCTTGCCCTCCAGCGAGTAGAAGGGCTTCCCCTGTAAATTGACTTTGCATACGAAGCAGCAGAAACAACTTATATGAAAAACTTTATCCATCGCCGAGCATCCAGTGCCCTCTCCCTCGACTTTGCGTCCACATTGCGCACAAATACCGTAAATGTCATTGTCTTCGCTGTTATCCGCCATCCCTTGGACCAACAGATCCGTGAGGACGTCGACCTACCCGAACAAAATATAAGGTATTTGTTAGATATATTATTGTAATATATTGCTAATATTGTCAAAACAGCAAAATGATCGTCTCAAATTACTGATACATATTGCTTTTACTATTACAGCATCGAGCTAATTTAAAATTTTTTCTAATTTTTAGGTAATCGGACGTTATGGTACATTCTTCGATTATCCTGTACAATGTTTTAGAAGTTCAGCAAATATGGCTAACAGAAAACAACTACAGGCGCAACATAATGCCAGGCACATATACACTTATATACATGATGAAATTAAGGTTCTTTAACTCATTCATTTCTTCAACTCACTTCTTTAACGGGGGATACTTTGCCCTGCGGTTGAGTAGACGTGGCCGATCCGTAGCCAGAGTACATGGAGTAGTTGCACGACAATTGTGACGGTGGTCTGGGATTAATCGGTTCGTATATGGACTCGTACGTCGAACTCGACTGAGAACTTGGTCCGTAAATATCAGCGGGATAGTTGCCTGACGGGAAGTCGGTTTGGTAAGTGGCGCGTCTCAACTCACTGTAACTGGAAGACACGGGACTCGGCGGCGGAGGCAGTTCTTCCGGCGGCGGTGGAAATGAATTCCCAGGTACGCATGAAACATACTCCGATGGCTCCGGCGGTGGCGGTAAATCATCTGCAAATTAAAGAAATCTCGTCTAATAGGTGCATATTGAATTTCCAGTAACATTGCGAATTTCTCTCACAAACTGTTTTCAGTTCTCCCAACACGTTTATTTTCATGTTCTGTTTTTATTGACGCGAATAACAAGCGGTATAACCTACCTATTATATGAAAACAAACGTGTCGAAAGAACTGAACACAGAAAACTTAGAACCGTATTAATAGTTGTTACTTGGAACTTTGTCTCAAATGAGATGCTTGGATCCATATTAATGGTCGTTACTCGAAACTTCTTTCAAATGATACTCAGATTTGAGTTCAAAGTTAGATGAGAGTTGAGTCACGCGAATACAGGTATAATTCAACTAAAAAACTTGGATTTAAAGCAGATGGCACAAAGAAAAAATAAGCAGTAAGAAAATTGACTAATCTCAATTGATTATTCTTATACTGTAAGAAAAATTATCGGCTGTGGTTAGTCGATATACTTAGTGTTAAAGTTTTGATTTGCGTTTTTTGTATACTCCCGGCTAAATTTTGATTAAAAATCCGAGTATCTCATATAAAACAAAATTTCAAGTAACAGCTTTTAGTACAAGCCTAAGATTTGAATATACAACTATATGTGAGTTTTTCAGTTAAATCGCGGTTATATAAATGTAATGTAAATTCAGATCTGAATATCTCACATGGGAGACAAGTATCAAGTAAAACGACTATTAAAATGGATCTTAAAGAATTAGCAAATTTAAAAAATGCTCGTACCGTCTGGTTGTCGTCTTAATGTTTGAAATTTGTACTCAACCGATTCGTATAAGTTCTTACCACCGCCATGCGGAGGAGGAACGTTGCAGTACGTGTTCTCTGGTTTAGGGCTCCACTGAATGTTGCTGTATATGATATCCTTCTCGGTTTTTATCGGCGTAGGAACCGGGATCGGCACCGGTGGCTCGATATTGCTGTAAACCGCATTTCTGGTCGCTCTGTTTGCGCGATCGTCCGGCACAGGTACCTGAGGGGCCGGCATGTTACCGATATTGGAGTAGTAATTCTTCTCGTCATATCTGTACTTGGGCTCGAACTTCTCGTCCGATTGACACGCGTAGAAGCTATCGTTGTTCTGATAGAGTTTCGATGTCTCCTTGCCATTCGCTGGTACCATTTGTGAGAAATCATTTTGTATGTCCAATGGAGCATATGATGATGCAGTGTTCATGTACAAGTTAGTAGCTTTCTCATTGGAACCCGCATTATTCAGCACTGTGCTGTATGACGGTGTTGGTGGAGCCTTTATGGTGTAACTTTGCGGTATCTGTAAAACATGTGTATACAATTAGATACTTTACTGTTATATATAAAATTCTATTCTACACAGGAAAAATAGTACAGTACAGTTGATCCACATATAAATCTAGTTGTGCCAATCAGGTTTAATAGTAAAATATAGAATAACCTAATGTGATATGGTTACTGCAACTACAGAACAATTACAGATAATGACATTGCAACAGTGTAATATCTGGTTGCTACAACCAGGTCACAAGCAAATAAATTAATATGATATATATATATATATATATATATATATATATATATATATATATATATATATATAT